GTATCTGTGGTGCTCCAGTCATCCATTGCCACTATTGGTGTCTGCAATACATCAGTCAGCCTTTGTTGGTATTAATGTCTTTGTTACTTCAGTCAGCCATGCTGATACTAGTCTCTGGGATACTTCCGTTAGCCATTGCTGGTATTAGTATCTGTGGTGCTCCAGTCATCCATTGCCACTATTGGTGTCTGCAATACATCAGTCAGCCTTTGTTGGTATTAGTGTCTGTGTTACTTCAGTCAGCCATGCTGATACTAGTCTCTGGGATACTTCCGATAGCCATTGCTGGTATTAGTATCTGTGGTGCTCCAGTCATCCATTGCCACTATTGGTGTCTATGGTACATCAGTCAGCCTTTGTTGGTATTAATGTCTGTGTTACTTCAGTCAGCCATGCTGATACTAGTCTCTGGGATACTTCCGTTAGCCATTGCTGGTATTAGTATCTGTGGTGCTCCAGTCATTCATTGCCGGCATTGGTGTCTGCAATACGTCAGTCAGCCTTTGTTGATGAGCGTGTCTATAACATTGAAAGCCAGCCATTGTTGGTATTAGTATCTGTGGTGCTCCAGTCATTCATTGCCGGCATTGGTGTCTGTGATACTCCAGTCAATCATTGTTGGTATTAGTGTCTGTGGTGCTCCAGTCATCCATTGCCGGCATTTGTGTCTGTGATACTCCAGTCAATCATTGTTGGTATTAGTATCTGTGGTGCTCCAGTCATTCATTGCCGGCATTTGTGTCTGTGATACTCCAGTCAATCATTGTTGGTATTAGTGTCTGTGGTGCTCCAGTCATTCATTGCCGGCATTTGTGTCTGTGATACTCCAGTCAATCATTGTTGGTATTAGTGTCTGTTATACTCCCGTCATCCATTGTTGGTATTAGTGTCTGTGTTTTATACTCCAGTCCGCCATTGTTTATATCAGTTTCTGTTATACTCCAGTTAGTATTTATTGGTATTTGTGTCTGCCGAAAACAGTCAGTGATTATGGGTATTTGTGTCTGGGCGGTGGGGTAGCCTTGTGGTTAAGCGTTCGCTCTCCACGCTGAAGACCCGGGTTCGATTCCCCTCATGGGTACAATGTGTGTAACCTGTTTCCGGTGTCTCCCGACGTAATATTGATGGAATATTGCTAAAAGCGACGTAAACATCGTAATTTCTATACTATTTGTGTCTGCCGCACGATAGTCAGTATTTATGAGTATTTGTGTCTGCCACACAACAGTCAGTGATTATTGGTATTTGTGTCTGCCGCGCTACAGTCGATATTTATCCGTGTTCATGTCTGCTGTACTACAGTTAGTATTAATTGGTGTTGACATCTCCCATACTGCAGTTATCATTTATAGGCAAGGATGTCTGTCGTACAACAGTTATTGATTATTGGTATTGATGTCTGCCGTACTACAGCTAAACTTAGTATTTCCTGGTATTGATGTCTTCCGTACTACAGTTAGTATTTCCTGGTATTGATGTCTTCCGTACTACAGTTAGTATTTACTGGTATTGATGTCTGCCGTACTACAGTTAGTATTTACTGTTATTGATATATGTCGTACTACAGTTAGTATTTACTGGTATCGATATCTGTCGTTCTACAGTTAGTATTTACTGGTATTGATATCTGTCGTACCACAGTTAGTATTTACTGGTACTGATATCTGTCGTACTACAGTTAGTATTTACTGGTACTGATGTCTGCCACACTACAGTAAATATTTACTGGTATTGATATCTGTCGTACTACAGTTAGTATTTCCTGGTATTGATATCTGTCGTACTACAGTTAGTATTTACTGGTATTGATATCTGTCGTACTACAGTTAGTATTTACTGGTATTGATATCTGTCGTACTACAGTTAGTATTTACTGGTATTGATATCTGTCGTACTACAGTTAGTATTTACTGGTATTGATGTCTGTCGTACTACAGTTAGTATTTACTGGTATTGATGTCTGCCGTACTACAGTTAGTATTTACTGGTATTGATGTCTGTCGTACTACAGTTAGTATTTACTGGTATTGATGTCTGCCGTACTACAGTTAGTATTTACTGGTATTGATATCTGTCGTACTACAGTTAGTATTTACTGGTACTGATGTCTGCCGCACTACAGTAAATATTTACTGGTATTGATATCTGTCGTACTACAGTTAGTATTTACTGGTATTGATATCTGTCGTACTACAGTTAGTATTTACTGGTATTGATATCTGTCGTTCTACAGTTAGTATTTACTGGTATTGATATCTGTCGTACCACAGTTAGTATTTACTGGTACTGATATCTGTCGTACTACAGTTAGTATTTACTGGTACTGATGTCTGCCTTACTACAGTTAGTATTTACTGGTATTGATATCTGTCGTACTACAGTTAGTATTTACTGGTATTGATATCTGTCGTACTACAGTTAGTATTTACTGGTACTGATGTCTGCCGCACTACAGTAAATATTTACTGGTATTGATATCTGTCGTACTACAGTTAGTATTTACTGGTATTGATATCTGTCGTACTACAGTTAGTATTTACTGGTATTGATATCTGTCGTACTACAGTTAGTATTTACTGGTATTGATGTCTGTCGTACTACAGTTAGTATTTACTGGTATTGATGTCTGCCGTACTACAGTTAGTATTTACTGGTATTGATGTCTGTCGTACTACAGTCAGTATTGGTATTTCTGTCTGCTGTGCTACAGCCACTGATTATTGATATTTGTGTTTGCAACACTACTGTCAGTATTTATATGTATTGGTATCTGCCGTACTACAGTTAGTATTTCTAGGCGCTTGTGGCTGCCCTACTATGGTATATACTGATTGCCCAGGGCCTCGCGACACCGTTGCTTGCGCATTGTTTTGGTCATGGTGAAAGTGTAATTACAGATTACAGCATAAACCTATGTATGTGTTGATGTCACGCTACAACAGACATGCCACATGCAAAACTCAAGTGAGTGTGCAGGGCCTTCATACACAATACTATTGCTGTGTTCTATACAAGCAGCAACAATTGTTTCTGGAACATTTACCCACGATAGACACAATAGTATTGCTGTGTTCTATACAAGCAGCAACAATTGTTTCTGGATCATTTACCCACGATAGACACAATAGTATTGCTGTGGCCTATAGAAGCACCTACAATTGTTTCTGGAATATTTACACACTATATACACAGTCAATAGTATTGCTGTGGCCTATAGAAGCACCTACACATGTTTCTAGAACATTTACCCACGATATACACAATAGTATTGCTGTGGCCTATAGAAGCACCTACACATGTTTCTGGAACATTTACCCACGATAGACACAATAGTATTGCTGTTGCCTATAGAAGCACCTACAACTGTTTCTGGAATATTTACACACTATATACACAGTCAATAGTATTGCTGTGGCCTATAGAAGCACCTACACATGTTTCTGGAACATTTACCCACGATAGACACAATAGTATTGCTGTTGCCTATAGAAGCACCTACAATTGTTTCTGGAATATTTACACACTATATACACAGTCAATAGTATTGCTGTAGCCTATAGAAGCACCTACACATGTTTCTAGAACATTTACCCACGATATACACAATAGTATTGCTGTTGCCTATAGAAGCACCTGCAAGTATGTCTGGAACATTTACTCATTCAAAATAGTATTGCTGTGGCCCATAGAAACACATACAAGTGTGTCTGGCACATTTACTCATTCAAAATAGTATTGCTGTGGCCCATCGTAGCACCAACGGATGTGTCTGGCTCACTAAGCCTTTCTACGGTTATCTATAGCAGGGTAAGCATCTACAGGCGCTACCTCCGTTACCTCTTTTACAGCCAACTTCAGTTGAAACCATCTCAGCATCTCCTATGTTAGGCACGTTACTCTGATGGCTTTTCAAATAGACGCGGGGCCACTTTGCAGAGTAAAGGGTAATTGAGTTTCTAACATTCACCAAGACGCCACTCTACACACGTAATCGTATAGGTGCTCGTGTAGCTGTAATGAAGTGTCCGATGTCCACTCGTCAAGTATCACGATATCACGTCAGCTGATGTTGTCGTTATGGTGTAGTTGTTGACTAGGATGTAGAAGTAGTTGCTGTAGTACTAGGACAGGCACCACTGTTGCATTTTTCTGATATCTGAAATGCTGTTGATGGCGATACTGAAATGATATTAGTGAGTGAGTATGGTTTAACGCCATTTTTTTCGCAACATTCCCGCTTGTGGGAAACGAAACAGGACCTTCGGCGTGCCGAGCAAACACATTAACCACCAGGCCATCCCACGGCAACAGGTGTTTTATAATGGGATACGAGCATGAATTATACGTGTATCATGTATCATGGAGGGCGGTCGGGTAGCCTAGTGGTTAAAGCGTTCGCTCGTCACGCCGAAGACCCAGGGTTCGATTTCCGACATGGGTACAATGTGTGAAGCCCATTTCTGGTGTCCCCCGCCGTGATATTGCTGGAATATTGCTAAAGGCGGCGTAAAACCATACTCACTCACTGTATCATGGAATGGTCCCCCAACTATGTTGGGCGGATAGAACGAAAATACAGTGACATACACGCTTTATAATCAGGTCGGGTTTTTACCGAGAAATTCATTTGACGTGATGTATTTGGAAAGCTAGTGTCTTGTATTATCAACGCAGTGGTAGTGAGGTCTATAGGATTACAACAGTAGATTAATGTATTGGTCTCTTTCTATGATATAGGGAAATCAGTGTTTATTCATCATCAGTTGTCTCTAAGAGTTTGTTGTAAGAGTTTTGGATGAAGAATTGCACATGAATGTCGTTTCACGACCTCCTGGTGTCAGTGATCCAATTATATAATTTTCATCGCTATTTTGCCTTTACGCTCAATGTAATCCGTGTCGTCGGATAATCGAGACTGGTTATTCTGGTGTTGAATGGTATAAGCATTATATCATTAAACGAAACCACAAGCCTGAGATAAGTATGTTTCCTCTTTTCAGTTGGTGATCCTGAAAACATCGATATGAGAAGGGGTGCCGACATCCTCGCCGAAGGTAACTGATCAAGTCGTTTGATCAAGTGATTGTCTTTCCCCGTCCCAGTCTGTTCCTAAAATGAATTCGAAGAAATGACTATGAGAGAGACATTAGAGATTTCACATCTTTGTCCCCCGATAGCCCCCTAATGAGGATCGGGTGATAACAGTGCGAGACCCGTCTGTGAGTCTTCGTTGCCCCCACGACGTGGGTCTTTGATCACGCTTCTGACTACTCAGCTTGCCTTGTCCAAACGCAAGAAAATATAGAACTCTTACAGTGTAAAATGAATTATGGTTTTTATCACGCATTTCTATGTTGTAACTTTGTCGAGTGACATTGAGGGATAAATGTTTCGAAACTTAAGCCAGATCATTCTAAATTTTGTTGTTTGTTACAGCCAACAATGCATCAGGATCAACAGTGGCTCGACAAAAGCGGTTTGCGGTGGATATGAACTGGTAGGTACACATCATCTGCCTGTTGTCGTCTCTCCAACATGCCTCGGACATTATCAGGGGTCGGGTTACCAAGGCGCCTCAATTTGTGTGGGTTCTATCTAATTCTCGGTCCGTCCTGATTATGTTTTTTAGTTTGTCAGCACCATATTCGTGCTGGGGAACAAGGGGAAAATACTTCACAATCCAATCTATGTGCAAATAGGCCATGTTTTGCACAAACGATTCTCAGTGCAAATTGATGTTCTTCCCATCCAAATCAAGGTGAAAATAGGGTAATGAATCGTATGTAGGTGCAAACGTGATTACCCCGACTGAACAACTTCAAACTCGTAGTAAGATATTTGACACTGAGTGATACCGAGAATCTGATGTCATCATTGCATCTCTTTCAAATATTAACACGCTTAGAATAAAACCAAACCATATTTCAGTATGTTTACTAAGAAGAAGACCTTCATACCAAATGTTAAAATATCAACAGGGGCTCTGATGACTAAGCGTGTCGACTGCAAACAAACGAAAAATATTCAAACATTTTTTAAAAGTTTAATTTAAATTTAAGAGCTCCCTGTTATGCAGAGGAACTAAACAATTGCAATATTGTATGACTACTACAGTCGTTCTTGTTTAAGGGACAACCACTGAGGGCGTGGTCCTGGAGGAGGTGAGTACCCACTGTTTCCTCGTGAGGAGACGGGCTATGCAACAGTGATGATTCTATAAGTTTGGTTGTTGGTTGGTTGGTTTGTTGTTTTACGCCGCACTCAGCAATATTCCAGCTATATGACGGCGGTCTGTAAATAATCGAGTCTGGACCAGATAATCCAGTAATTAATATCATGAGCATCGATCCACGCAATTAGGATCGATGACATGCATCAACCAAGTCAGCGAGCCTGACCACCCGATCCCGTTATTCGCCTTTTACAAGCATAGTCGCTTTTTACGGCAAGCATGGGTTGCTGAAGACCTATTCTACCACGGATCTTCACGGGTCGATTTTATAAGTAACTGACTGACAAAACAGGATAAATATTGCGATGATTCGGACTATGTGGTTTGACAGATTGATCAGTATTCTATCAAACGGTGTACAATACAAAACACTTGTCGAGGCAAACCAAGGTAACTCTATGTCATTTTATGTTAGTTTGTTTTTGTTTAACTCATCACTCAGCAATACTCCACCTATGTCACTCCCGTCTGTAAATAATTGAGACTGGGCCAGACAATCCAATGATTTACATCATGAGCATCTATCTACGCAAATGGGATATGATGACATACATCAACTTAGTTATCGAGCCTGACCATCCGTTATAGTTGCCTCTTACGACAAACATGAGATGCTGAAGACCAATACATGTCTAACCGGATCTTCACATATTTGGGAAACGTCATCTATCAAATTTCTCTCACTTTCATACTGCTCCAACGGGGAATGACAATAGCCAGACATTTGACTATAATCTGTGTCTTAAGCAAAACATATTCAGCATCGTTATTGTGGCCTTATTAATATTCATGGTTCAAAATACATATTACTGGAAACACATTAACGAATAAATACAATATATTCAGCATAGTAATTGCGGCCTTATTTATATTCAAAGTACAAAATATTTTTGAGTGGAAACACATTAACGAGAACGAACAGATAAACAAAATATATTCAGCATAGTAATTGCGGCCTCGTTTGTATTCCATGAGTGTTCTTCCAACAACAAGCAGCTGCAACATGTTATAATGCTTTACTTGTTTTGTTTCAGTGTTGCACGGTATATGGACACATTATGCAAATGGATCAAACAGCTGAAGCCTGTGTATTAGTTTGTGATCTGCAAGGTCAAGTATACAGCTGTGCTCAAACACTTAGTCCACCGTGACGGATTTGACGCTGGCGACAACGATCTTCCGCGCCATGGACGTATTTATAAGATAAGGAAAATGTGCGCAACTGAGTTATACTTCATTGCAACAAAAGCTAACCCGCGTCACTCTACCACAAGGTAGCAGATGGAACGTAGACTATATATACAGGACTCTCCGCACATCTTGGACCAGGCCGTGTTTAACATCAACTGCCAAACAAACAGGGTCAAGCCAAACTAGGAAAGACAAACTCAATGGAATTAATTTTGGCCGTTATGCATATCAGGACGTTACTGAAAGTCGGAAATTGGTGGTGATACATATATATAAATACGTGAACAAGGCATCATTGTTTTGATGATGATGATGATATTGATGATGATGATGATGATGATGATGACCTGTCGGACAGATCGTGCCACAGTGTATTTTGAAATGACAACGTACCCTGTATTCGTGCTACTCATTGTTGTCAGCTGCCTGACGTCACCAGTGTGATTGCTGTGGAGGAATGACACCACCAGAGCCTGATGAGGTAGCTGAGGTGCTTGCGTTCTGTCTGACGCTGGACTGACCGGGCGTTGGAGTCGGATCAGTCCCATTCTGCTTATATGCGTTTTTGCTCACTCCTTATATGTTTGTGCAAAATGTCGTGGCGTTTGTTTCAGTTGCCACATTTTTGAATTGCATAATTATTTTTATATATATCTGTTGATATCTTCTGTGGTGTGTGTATATTTTATTAATACTCATTTGTTAAACAGTTTCTATCATGCCTGTTCATTTGAATTCACCCTGCTCAAATCGTGCCTATGGCTACATCATGATATCTTCCTTTGACTAGGAGACACGCAGCACAACATTCACCATGAACGCTCTGACCCGTGAAGATCCGGGTAGAATACGTCTTCAGCAACCCATGCTTGCCTTAAAAGGCGATTATGCTTGTCGTAAGAGGCGACTTACGGGATCGGGTCGTCAGGCTCGCTGACTTGGTTGATGCATGTCATCGATCCCAATTGCGTGGATCGATGCTCATGATGTTAATCACTTGATTGTGTGGTCCAGACTCGATTATTTACAGACCGCCGTCATATAGCTGTAATATTGCTGAGTGCGGCGTTAAACGAACAAACAAACCATGAACGTCTGCTAAGCGCCATGCTGCCACAGAATACCACTGACTTGGAAAACATAATCATACGTTACATTTCATTGAGGTTGACATCTTGATCATACTATGAGAACATATCCTTGATCATATCATCAGAACATATTCTTGAGTATGATATTTGGATGATATAATGAGAACATATCTTAGATTAGGACATTCAGATCATATCATCAGAGTGTATTCTTGACTGGGACATTCTGGTCATATCATCAGAGTGTATCCTTGATTTGGACAATTTGGTCATATCATCAGAGTGTATCCTTGATTGGCACATTCTGGTCATATCATCAGAGTGTATCCTTGATTGGCACATTCTGGTCATACCATCAGAGTGTATCCTCGGTTGGGACATTCTGGTCATATCAACAGAGTGTATCCTTGATTGGGACATTCTGGTCATATCAACAGAGTGTATCCTTGATTGGGACATTCTGGTCATATCAACAGAGTGTATCCTTGATTGGGACATTCTGATCATATCATCAGCGTGTATCCTTGATTGGGACATTCTGATCATATCATCAGCGTATATCCTTGATTGGGACATTCTGATCATGTCATCAGAGCAGTTCCCTGATTAAGACGCACATAACATAATGGATACTTATTGTTCTACATCATCCCATCTGGGCGTATCCATCACATGCATCACATACACTCGGACCGATGTAAGGCATCATACCATCTGGACGTATATCAATAAGGGCGTTCTGCTCATCGAAACCTAGTCTTGACAAGGACATGCTTTAGACACACTCGGGTCGTGTTCTTATGTAGGACATATCCTAACGTACATACCATCAGACTCGACTGTGAACAGGGCTGAAGGACTACGGGTAACTATCATAGGGCAGGAGGGTGGGTCATTTGGCACACTATGCGTATACACATGGCTGGTAATGTGAGGGGTGGGGAGAGTCGGAGGGTTGAGCGGTTGCACCTGCAGGGAGGATGGGATGATTACGTTGAAGGGAAAGAGAAGTATGGGAAAGAAGGAGAGAGGGGGGGAGGAAGGTGGCAGGGTGAGAACGAAAGAGACATGTGAAAGGAAGGAGAAAGGGCGGGACGGAAGGAGAGAGGTGGGGACGGAAGGAGAGAGGGGGACGGAAGGAGAAAGGTGGGGACGGAAGGAGAAAGGTGGGGACGGAAGGAGAGAGGTGGGGACGGAAGGAGAGAGGTTGGGTCGGAAGGAGAGAGTCGGGGTCGGAAGGAGAGAGGTTGGGTCGGAAGGAGAGAGGTTGGGTCGGAAGGAGAGAGGTTGGGTCGGAAGGAGAGAGGTTGGGTCGGAAGGAGATAGGTTGGGTCGGAAGGAGAGAGTCGGGGTCGGAAGGAGAGAGGGAAAAGGAAAGTGACAGGGTGGGAACGAAAGAAGGGGAAAGGGCGGGACAGGAAAGAAAAAGGTGGGGATGGAAGTAGATTGTGGCGACAGGGGGAGAAAGGGACATATGTCGAGTTGTTGGTGATCGTGATAGCATACGCTGATGGAATATAGTATGCTAAAGTAACGATATTTAGAAAGTGATACATTTCCAATAAGATTATATTACTCGAATGGTTACGACATTCCCAGTATTGGTAGAAATGCTACTGACTGCTACATTATACAGACCTGCACAGAAAACATATAGGACACTCTAAAATACACGTAGTATTCCAAATAGTGACAGCTAATTTGCTGCATGCATAGTTTTCATTTAGTTAAAAGAATAGCGCCGATAAAGATAAATGTTTACCGCTGATTATTCACATTATAGACGCCTGATCACCGCGAAGAACATGAATTGTACCTGATATCCGTGTTCTGATGCGCGTGTCTAGGATCCAGAGTCACCTAGTGTTTATTACACGGCGTTCGCTATGCCACCTCTCGCTTCCACTGTAGTTAGCAAACATATATGTGCCAAATTCTGCAAGTGTAATTAAATGTGATTGAAACTAGAAAGTATTATATTTCATGTACACCACGAACATCAATATGTAATGTGCAGTTAGCATCACTACGTAGGTGTGTAGATTGCCAGGCACCGACTAGAACACACAGTTGACAAACCAAATCATTTTGCGGTCGCAATTCATTATATACTTCTCAACATTTGCTAAGGACCAAACTAATCAGCTTTAGTGAAAGGTGTGGTCCTTAGCAAATGTCGAGCAGTATAGAACTGTGCTGCATGTGCTGTATTCAACAAATGTTACATTACTCACAGCTTGGTAGGTACATTAGACGAGGTATACTCATTGTCATGTCACGTCACGTGATTCTTTGTGTGGTACAGAATTTCTGTGGATTCTTACCTATATTGCCTTCCGGCTAGTGTTAAAGCGGCCTTTATATTGTATTCATATCGTGCCACCTGTTTTATAACTGATATTATCAATATCATTTATGGTCGTGTTACTTTCTGGAGTCGCTATGCAGTAGGCTGTTCTGTACACGTGTTGGAATGACTCATGTAAAATTGATGCTCTGCTGAATATCAAACTAATTTAGCAATGTGTAACCAATTCTGTGATAGTATTATAAATAGCAAATGGAACAATGACGCTGAACCTATACTCAGGCATCACCTGAAATAATACCTTTACACCAGAACCTTTCACTGAAACCTGTTAATACAGACAGTATCGTCTCAGATAAATATCGTCCGGATTGACACGTTTCCGAATTGACAAATCAAGGATTTTGAGAAATGCCCTTTTTGATGTATGGCAATTCCAACAGTAGACGTTGGGCAGGCAGGTTTTCGGACTAAGGGGTCCGGAGTGTAGGTCTTGCTGTATGTTCATGCATCCAGCTATAGTAGTATACACATGGCTTGCTATCAATATGATTGACAACATTTGTAGACGTGCGGAATTTTGTTATAGAAATTCCTTGCCAAGTACAAGTGCTTATCATTTACATCACAATGGCCATATCGGACGTTTATGTTAATACATGTGCATCACCCTTTCTTGTAATTTGTCTGCTGACGAGCATGTCCTGTTGCGCGATGTCGCGTTGTTGCAGGGTACACGGCGTGGCTGTCGTTACTGCGTGTATTGATTCCAAGACCTAACACACAGGAGCAGCTTGGGCATTGCGATGGTGAAATCTAGAAATAAGAGCGACAAAAAACATGTCCATGCTCATGAGAAATATCCACCGAGTCCATTGTACGATTCCGACTATGTCATAATCCTGTGTTTATTAATCACTATCAAATAATGATGATACTCGTGTTCTCGAAAAGCTCAGTGTATCCTGCCCAAAAGGTAACATCCGTCACAAACAGGCAAGGCCCCAGTAAAGATTTCAGATCGCTTTTGGGAGACATGTAGATGACATTTCCAAATCTGACGCATCAGTGACAAAAATGATGTCCGATGTCAGGTGAACACTTGTCTTGACTTTGCATGTGTTTGTGACCGGTGCCACCGGTGGGGCAGGATACGCTCACCTTCTCGCGAACATCTGGTATCATCACTATTTGATAGTGATTCACAAACACATGCTTGTGATATAGTCGGAACCGTGCAATCGACTGTTTTTGGCAGAGATTCCCTATGAATATGATAAGGGTTTTGTCGCTTTTTTAATAAATATAAAAACGTGTTTCGTCGCTTTTATTTTCAACATGGCCATCAATTGTTAATTTCAATCGTCTTTAGGTGGTAATGCTGTGTTTCAACAGCGCTGCTTCAAAACGTGGAAACATGTTTGTTTTTTATCGGAGAATTCACAAACTGAATGTTCGTGTTTGTCAAACCGTGGTTGGATTACTGACGTATCTGTTGATGTTAATGTTTCCATGAAACTATGCCACTCTTATGCACAGATACAGACAACTCTCTATATAACATCCTTTTGAATGGTTTGTTTATCCGACTGTTCGTCTTTTGCGATTTCGTTATAAGCGGAGTTGACTGTATCTATTTCAACAGCTGAAAATGCATTATATCCTAGCACATGTGTGAGAAAGATTTCTGCTCAACCAGTAGAGGGACCAAGAATACTGTCAGACCAAGCAACGAACGTAGACATTGTGTGCACAAGAAGTAGACGTGTAGAATGTAACGTTTAGCTCGTTTGATATAACATAACTCGTTGGGAATTTATTGATGTTTCTGTGGTGTGTCCGTTACAATGTTGTATCTATGTCATCTAGAGCTCCACACAGGGTTGTCCAGAACCTACCGCTTCTCTTCCCCAGGGTGAAGGTCATTGTATTGATGTTTAATTATATACTCATAATCACTGGTCATTTTGGCATGATTTCTAGGCTTAATGACTGTAGGATGTGGATTATCTTTGTATTTTACAAGGTCGTCATTAAACCAAGGAAGCTTTATTTCACTAAGCGATCTTAGAGCAGTAATTTCACAAGGTGAAATTAAATATTGAACACTAGAACCGTTGCAAGTCTGTCATAACTTGACGTAATCGTCTAGTCCTTCACAAACTGAATTTCGTGTAGGATTTGCAAGAATTTCACAATGTGAACTAACTGACGCAGCTCCTTCACAAAGGGAACTGAACATATGAATTGTAAGTCATTCTCAACCTACATTAACTCTAGCAAGTTTTAACTTAGACTGTCTGAGAACTCGACAACATAA